CGTCCGATTGACCCTAAATTTTTCACACAAATCTCATTTGATATTATGGACCTACTCCAACTTCCGGAATTAGAATCCAATCTCGATATCAAAAAGTCCACTCCTGGTCAAACTTTCCAAAAATCCAACTTTCGCCATTTCAAGCCTAATTTTGCTACTAGCCTCCAAATCACAATCTGGACATGCTCCTATGATATTCTAGGTTAGTTGGTTCGGGCCCGGAGTGGTTTGGAAGTGGAATGAGATACTTAGTCGCTTATTTAGAACCTTAAGTTGGAAAGGTCAACCGGATGCTGACCTATGTGTAAATGATCTCAAATTTAAATTTTGATGGTTCCGTTTGCTCTATTAGGTGATTTTGGATTTAGGAGTGCGTCCGGAATATGATTTAGAGGTTCGTGGTAGAATTAGGCTTGAATTGGCAAAATTGGAAATTTGGCGATTTTCGATTAGCAGTGAAAAATTTAATATCGGGGTCAGAATGGAATTCCGGAAGTTGGAGTAGGTTCATAGTGTCATTTGTGACGTGTGTGCAAAATTTGAGGTTATTCAGACGTGGTTTGGTTGGTTTCAACATCGGATGCCAAATTTGGAAATTTAGAAGTTCTTCGGCTTGAATCCGAGGGTAATTTGGTGTTTCGATATTGTTTTGAGTTATTCGAAGGTTCAACTAAGTTTGTATGTTGATATATTACTTGTAAGTATTTTTGGTTGAGGTTCCGGAGGCTTCAAGTGTGTTTCGGGTGAGTTTTGAGCGAGTCTGGGCATTACCGGAACTGAGGCATGGTTCTGGTGCTTAAAATTTTGCTGAGGGGGGCAAAAATTCAGCTGAGGGCGGAGGAGGGGGAGCGTACCGCGTAAATTTAGTCGCGGAGGCGCTCCAGGGCAGATCTACAGATTCGCTGGTCCGATTTCGGAAGCCTATATCTTTTGATATACAAGGAATATTGAGATGATTCAAAAACGAAAGTTGTAGCCCTTTATATCTAGTTTCCAGAAAGCTAGATAAATTATCATTTGGACATCTGTAGAGAAAGTTATGGATAAAATACTAAAGCCTGTCACTACAGCCACCAGAAGCGCGGACAGCGTTGGATTTTCGCGGCCGCGCCTGGATTTTCGTGGTCAGCGTAGTGGAGATCAGAGAGTGCACTATATAAACAGGGTTTAGGGCATTATTTCATATTTTGGACCTAGAGAGCTCGGTTTGTGGCCATATTTTGAGGGTTTTTCAAGAAATTCATGAGGGTAAGTGATTCTAACTCAGATTTGGTTAATGTATATGAATATATAACTGATTTCATCATTTGATTAGTACTTTAGGGTGGAAAATTGGGGAAAATAGTAGAAACTTCATAAAATGAGTTTTGAGAGTTGAATGTCGATTCGAAGTCGGATTTTGAAAAATTTGGTATGGTTGGACTCGTGAGTGAATAGGTTTCCTAGTTTTGTAAATTGTATCGTATTTCGAGACGTAGGCCCGGGGGCTGGGTTTGAGCCAATTTTGCGTTTTGGGTTAATTTGGTAGTTTTTCTTGTGGAATTCATTCCATTAGCGTATATTGATGGTATTGTACTGATTGTGAATAGATTCAGAGCATTTGGAGGCCGCGTCGAGAGGCAAGAGCATTTCAGGATAGAGATTTGACCGGTTTGCGGTAAGTAATGATTGTAAATCTAGTCATGAGGGTATGAAACCCCGGATTTTTGTATCATTCTACTATTTTGAGGTGACGCACATGCTAGGTGACGGGCGTGTGGGCGTACACCTTTGGGGATTGTGACTTGGTCCGTTCCCGTAGCACTGTAAAGTTGCATATTTTGTGGAAATTAAATGATACTTATATGTTTTAGAAAGAGTTTCTGTAAGTTGCACTGAATGCCATGTTTGGGCCTTGTGCTAGTGCTGTTTGGACCCTTAGGGGCCTTTTCTTACTATCCTCTTACTGTTTTCGATTGAAAATCTATACTCAATCATGGTTATACTTGTTTATTACATAACTCAATTTTATGACTCCATTTTGATGCATATAAATGTTGTTTTGGGCCGAATGCCATGTTTTTACTAAAATGCCCAAGTGTCTTGAGACGTTTATGACTGAGTGAGGCCGAGGGTCTGATTTGTGAGGATATTTATGGGATCGGACTGCACGCCACAACATATTTGATATAGGCCGAGGGCCTGAGTGATTTATGCCATGATTTGGCTTGATATAGCGCTTGGGCTGAAGGAGCCCCTCTGGAGTCTGTACACACCCCCAGTGAGCGCAGGTACCTATTAAGTGCGAGTGCCGAGTGCTAAGTGACTGTGAGGCATGAGTGATTGTGAGGTATGCCCAAGTGGCGAGAGTGATGGTGAGGTATGCCCGAGTGGCAAGAGTGATTGTGAGGTATACCCTAGTGGCACGAGTGACTGTGAGGTTTGCCCGAGAGGCTGTTTATGATTTTATTATTTTGCTCACTTTTGCATTGAGCCTTGTTTGAAAAACTGTTGAAAAATATTTTTAAATAATTTTTACTGAAACCGGGTTTAAACGAGATGATTTGATTCAAACACTGATTCTTAAAGTATGTTGTACTTTACTGGATTTTTGTGATATGAACTTGATATGCTTTATTGCTCGTCACTACTGCTCAGTCTTTATTTATTGTTGTTACTTACTGAGTTGGCGTACTCATGTTATTCCCTACACCTTGTGTGCAGATCCAGGTGTAGCTGGACACGGTAGCGGTTGTTGGTTATTCTGGTTACAGATTTTCTTGCGGATAGCAAGGTAGCTGCTTGGCGACCGCAGCCCCTGCTCTTCTCCCTCTTATCTTCCTTTAGTTGTATTTAGCTATTTTTCAGACTATGTTAGTCTTGATATTGTTAGACAAATGGTAGTAGATGCTTATGACTAGTGACACCCCGATGTCGGACTTTTCTTTTCCGCACTTTTATTTTGATTTGAACTCCTTTACGAAGGTTTTTTTTTTATGTTAAATAGCATTGAAATTATCTTTTAAATGAAAATATCGGTTTGTTTTGGAAATGAGTCGACTTGCCTAGTTCCACGATAGGCGCCATCACGACAGAAATTAGTTTGGGTCGTGACATAAAAAACATACTTGTGTCACGAAACTAAACTATAAAAATAGCCACAAAATCTAAATTTGCGAGGCAAACAAATTATGTCTTTTGCTACAATTGAATACCCTGTGGCTACAATATAAAGATAGCTACAAATATTATTTGTGTTGGCAAAAGAATAAAATAATTTACTGTGAATATATTTTTTCGTGGCAAAAGATTTGTAACAATAAATATTAGTTCTTAGCCACGGATCATGTAAAGTCCGAAGCTAACTTTTAGTTATGCTACATTTTGCTATGGATGCTACAAAAATTATTTTTGTGGCTAAAGTGTTTAGCTACAAAAATTTTTATATTTAACTACGAGATATTTCGTAGCTGTATATGCCTAATCTTATAGTGAGAAGTAGGTGTTGGAAATACTTAACAAAGGCAATATTTTACAGCTAATAATTAAGTAAACGAGGTCGGTGCTTCAGCGCTTAATTGGTAGCTCTCAACAGTATTTTTTGTCACTTTGAGATATTATAGAATCGGAGACATCCTTTGGCAAGCAAAGAAATTTGGAGTTTATTGAATTAATACCGCTAAAAAAATAAGAAACCTAACCCCATTCATTTTTTTTTTTCTTTTTCACTTTCCATCTCTATCTTAAAAGGATGTTTTGGAGGGATTTTGTTGCCGAGATTGTTCATTGTACTTTAAGAATTCCCATTTTGTACCTAACTTCCATTAAATCTTTTTAGCATTATTCTGCTTAAGTATCCTATCAGATCAAGCATATTTTGAGTTAAAAAGACTTAGCCTAGCTTCTTTACATATTGAACTTGCAAGGTTAGGTACCTGAAAGAACTTTCTCACAAGTCACAAACAAAGTAAATATCAATGTGATTTATGCAATGTTGGAATGTGATTGGATTAACTTGGAAATTTAAGATTGTACCATCTTAGTTGTGGTTGAAATTGATTCCTATATGTTGTCCTTCAATATATGCGAGCCAATAATACGCGGAACATATAGATGATATCGTCCACGAAAATCCATTTTAAACGTGCCATGATTACAAAGAAAAAGAATCAAATTATTATTGTTCTTCCTCCTAAAGAGATGGTAAAGTTTAGTGTAGGAGGGTCACAAATTATTTTGCTAATATTTTACTCCATCCGTTTCAATTTATGTGAACTTATTTGACTGGATACAAAGTTTAAGAAAAAATGAAGACTTTTGAAATTTGTGGTCCTAAACAATTCAAAAAGGGGCCAAGAATATTTGTGTGGTTATAAAAGCTTTTCATTAAGTGTAGAATTGTAAGTTTAAGCAAAATTATTTTCAAATTTAGAAAGGGGTCATTCTTTTTGAAACGAACCAAAAAGGAAATAGATTTACATAAATTGGAACGGATGTAGTATAAATAAAGTACGCACATTTTTGGAGATTATATAAAAAGTGTGCTACAAAATGTTTAAAGCTGCAGTAACTAAGAAAATGTTTGCCTCTTAAAATATTACCCCCTATTCCAATTTTTATGCTCTCTTCATATTAGTCTATTTCATAAAAAAAATATTTATATATTTAAAAATAATTTAACATTAAGCTTTACGTTTTAACATTAATAATATAATTTTATAATTACAGAAGTTACTGTGGCATGTCTTACACAAAAATTTGAAGTGTCTTTTTTCTTTGTAAATGCCAAGATTATTTTCCCTCTAAATCAAATACCGTGCACCACATAAATTAAAAGAGATAAGAGCATTTGATTTTTATCGTTTGCCCCTCAATCATAATGAACCGATAATGTACGACATAGAGACTACTAAAAAACAAAATGCATATTTTAAACGTGCCAATGTGAAGGACTATCCATGCAACTATAGCAAGTACAATTTCATCTTATCCCTCTATAAAATTCAAGCTTCAATAATAATGGACTGCATATCAAACAATACGCAACACCCTCCTTGTGTAAACATGAAATCCTTTATTTTCAGCTTCCTCTTGCTTTCAACTACTCTCTCTTTGCTTCCCTTTGTGGTCTTTTCATCATCTTTCACTTCCACCAATCCCATTGTCCTTCCCACCACTACTGCTGATGGCAAGGGTTTGCCAATCCCTGTACTCCCCGAAGTGCTAGACATAAATGGCGAACCGCTCCAGATCGGCGAAAAGTACCACATTATCTCCGCTATCTGGGGAAGCGGCGGCGGCGGCGTATACTTAACCAATCTTGGAAACACCAAATGTCCAAACGGCGTAGTCCAGCATGGGAGGGACACCCGACCAGGCATGCCCGTGAAATTCTTTACCACTCACCCCGGTCCCCCACCTTTTAATGTCGTACGTGAAACTAATAACATTAATATTATGTTCTCTGTTCCAACGTCACGACTCTGTGTTAATGAAACTGTTTGGAAAGTTGGTGATCCCGACTTAACTGCACGAGGGGTTAGGTTTGTGGTAACCGGTGGAACTCTAGGAAATCCAGGACCCGAAACAATAAACAGCTGGTTTAAGATTGAGAAAGTAACAAATACAGCACCTTTCTACAAGTTAAGGTATTGTCCTGATAAAGTTTTGTGTCCAATGTGCCACCCCGTTGATTGTTTAGATGTCGGCGTGACTGACCATTTCGGATATAGGCGTCTGGCTCTCACCAACCAGCCTTTTATGGTTTTCTTCAGGAAATTCCAGAAGACTGATGGATAATTAACCTAACCTGCTATGTCTTAACCTGGCTTTCTAAATAATGTGGATAAATCTATCCCTTGTCTTAGATCGATGTTTGATCTTTCGCTCTGTGTAAATGCTGTTTATGAAGCATATGAATAAAGAAGCTAGGCTTTTATATTATCTGAAGAATTAATTAATAATCCACGCTTCGATATAATTAACCGTCTCTCTACATTTCCACATGAGGGAACTAGAAATTTCAGGGTGTCAATATAAAGTTAACATGAAAAAATTAAGGAGTTCCAACATATATAGTTTATATAGGTAAAATAAAAAATTTAACCTCGTTATATAATGTAATATTACAGTAAAAAGGTATCAATTGACGCCCTTAGCCTAACGTGTAGCTCTGCCATACTAATTAATGATATTGAAATACTCTAGTGTTGTCGGATAGGTTTGCAAACAAAACGGAATACACAAGATGCATGCGCGCATTTTTCATAGCCTTTATATATTCTAATAAGAATTTAATTTGTATTTGCGGTTATGACTGATCCTTTATGTTTAAGAAATACAATGCTTGACTATAGATTATTTCATCCACTCGGGATAGGGGTGGGCATAGTTTGGGAAAATTTTAAATCAAACCGAAATTCGAATTTTTTGGATTTTTGTTTGGATTTTCGGATTACGGATTGAATTTTGGATTTAATTTTTAATATTTTTGAATTTCGGATTGGATATTGGATTTGGTAATTCGGATTTTGGATATCCGAAAATCTAAACTTTTTGTACTTTATATTTAGTCCATTATTCAGCCAATAGTAATAAGTTCAATACCCCACCCATAGATATTATCTCATATATTCAATATTAATTACTAGGTTATTGTTAGAATACTTTCTATTTGGACATGATTTTACTTTTGCTACTTCTTATCGGTCGTATTAATGTCTCTGTTGTATTTTTTCTAAATAATAATTTCATTACTTGAACGTTTTATTTAGATGATTGCTGCAAGAATAAGAAATTTTTCAAGCAATTTAACATGCATGAGTGCTTCATTTGGATATTCATTTTTGGTAAAAAGTAGAAGCATCACAACTTATACGCTCAAAATCGAAAATTCATAATATCCAAACCGATTTATCCGAAACAAAACTTAAAAAATCCGATCCAATATGAACTTATTTGGATTGGATTTGAATTGTTATTTCTTCCATCCGAAAATCGAAAATTCAAACTGAAATTCTCATATCCAATCTGAACTGCCCGAACGTCCACCCTAATTCGGGAGATGCTTAATTAGCAGAAGATTCTCAATTGATTTGGTCTTTCTTTTTTGCTTCATCTCTTGTTTGGGGTTTTTCCTTCTACTTCTTTTTTATATTATTATAGTGGGGGATGGAAGACTTGGTTTAGAGATAAATTATGCAAGAATTAGTAATATAGAGATTGTAAGGAGACAATTAGTAATACAAAAAATATATTGTATAGGGAAAAATTGTTGTTTTGTTTACTTTCCAAAAAATAATACATATATATTAATTTTGATCATTAATTTTGTTGTTTTAACTCATCTATTATTAATTTTCATATTCTTGTTCCACCTTTATCTATCATAAAATAATACATAAATTTATACATAAATTATACTCATGTTACTTATGGATGGTAACAAATATTATAATAAAATAATATTGTAATGCTAAATTTTATGCTAAGCACTACAAAGGTGATAATATCACACTAAACAAGTAGCCCCTGTAACGACCCAGACGGTCGTTTTGAGTATTACATCCATATTTTCCCATTTACTATTTAATTTATACTTTAAAGTTATTATATGACTTGCCGGGGTAATTGGTTTGGGTCCGGTGAGGTTTTGAAATGAGTTAAGACACTTAGTCTCCAAGATGGAAACTTAAGTTGAAAAGATTGACCGGATGTTGACTTATGTATAAACAACCCCAGAATAGAATTTCGATGGTTCCAATAGTTCTGTATGGTAATTTAGAACTTTAAGAGTGTGTCTGGATATTTATTTTTGAGGTCTGTGGTTAAATTAGGCTTGAAATGGCGAAAATAGGAAATTTAAGTTTGAATGTTTGACCGGGGAGTTGACTTTTTGATATCGGGATAGAAATCAGATTCTGAAAATTTGAATAGCTCTGTTATGTCATTTATGACTTGTGTGCAACATTTGAGGTCAATTAGAATTGAATTGATAGGTTTCGGCATCAAATGTAGAAGTTGAAATTCGTTAGTTTTTGTTATACTTGAATTGAGGTGTGATTCGTGTTTTTAGCGTTGTTTGATATAATTTGAAGGCTAGAATAAGTTCGTATGATATTTTGGGACTTGTTAATATATTTGGTTGAGGTCCTGGGGGCCTTGAGTAAGTTTCGGATGGTTAACGGATCGAAAATTCGGACTTAGGAAAATCTGGAATTTGCTTTTGGTGTAACTGCAGCTGCGAAGCTTTGAACGCAGGTGCGACACCGCAGGTGCACAAGGGCCATCGCAGAAGCAGCCAAGGCTGGGGAGGACGAAGGTCGCAGGTGCGAAGACTTTTCCGCACCTACGTGGCCGCAGGTGCTGTGAGGGGTTCGCAGAAGCGCACTCGTAGGTGCAGGATTTTGAGCGCAGGTGAGGAGTTGGGGGAAATAAGTGGCTACCGCAGAAGAGGAAAAATGCACCGCAAAAGCAGTTCCGCAGGTGCGAAAAGCCTGGACAAAATGCTAAAAACAGATGAGTCTGAGATTTTTGACATATCCAACACGGGTTGAGGCGATTTTTGAGCCAGAATTCACGGGAAAATTTTAGGTAAGTCACTTATGATCATTGTTACTCAATAATATTGTATTATTATTGAGTATTTCGACTAGATTATATGATTTTGAGGTGAAATTAGAGGAATTGGGCCTAGGGATTTCAAAATGAGAATTTGAGATTTGGAGGTCGAGTTGATGTCGGAATTTGGAAAAATTTATATGGTTGGACTCGTAGTTGAATGAGTATTCATATTTTGTAACTTTCGTCGGGTTCTGAGACGTGGGCGCAATATGTGATTTTGTTGGAAAATTAGTATTTTCATATGGAATTAATTTCAATAATTTATTTTGATTGAATCGAGATAATTGTGACTAGATACGAGGCTTTCCAAGGCCAATTCGTGAGGCAAAGGCATAGCGGAGTAAAGAATTACACGGCTTGAGGTAAGTAATACTTCTAAACTTGGTTCTAAGGTTATGAATCCCTGAATGACGTGTTGTATAAATTATTTGGAAATGACGCGCATGCTAGGTGACGGGCGTGTGGGTGTGCATCGTAGGAATTGTGACTTAATTGATTCTGTAGAGTTGCTTAATTAAATAAATTTCATTATCAGCATATCCTCTACGTGTTAGAGAAATTGAGCTGAGACTTATATTAAAGATCATGTTTAGGCTACATGTCGATGCATTTTGGGACTCTCATGGGTCATATTGCTGTTGAATTATTTGGTTGAAAAATAAATTTGTACTTAGTCACATCTATCACTTGCATATCATAAAATAGGTTGTCAGATTTTATGAGTTTCGTTGGATTTCGAGATGCGGGACCCACTGTCGATATTTCGAGCTGAGTTGGAAATTTTTATAAATTATTAATTTGTAAGCATTGGAGTAAATTGTGATTTATTTGCACGTTATTTGAATAAATATAAATCGTTTGGCTTGAATTGAGGAGACATGAAGACGTTTGGAGGTTGATACGCGCGGAATGGAATTTCCAGAGTAGTGTTTATCTTGCTCGGCATTGGATTCGGCTTGTTCAAGGTAAGTAACTCTTCTAAACTTGGAGCTGAGGGTATGAACCCTGATTATATGTGTTATGTGAATTGTTTGGAGGTGACGCACATGCTAGGTGACAGGCGTGTGGGCGTGCACGGTAGAAATTGAGATTCCGTTGATTCAGTAGAGCTATATAGTCAATTAACTTGTATTTTTTCATGTATGTTTATGTGTTAGAGAAACTTAGCTGTGACTCATGTTAGAAATCATGCTTAGGCAAATGTTGATATTATTGGGACCTACTGAGGTCAGTTCTGCTGTTGAAGTATATGTTTAAATTATAATTTCGTACACCGTCATATACATTTATTTCATATCATATCTTAGTCTCTGTTGTTATTTACTGATACAACATATCATTATTTGGGCTAGTTTCATGACACTGTGAGCCCGAGAGACTAGAGAGATTGATGACTGAGTGAGGTTGAGGGCCTGATTTTTGAGATATTGATATTATAGCACGTGAGTTGTCCGTGTAATACGTGAGTTGTCCGTGCGGATCCATATATTGATACTATAGCACGTGAGTTGTCCGTGAGAATCCAGATATTGATACTATAGCACGTGAGTTATCTGTGCAACACGTGAGTTGTTCATGCATCATGTGAGTTGTCCATGCGTATCCAGATATTCATATTATAGCACGTGAGTTGTCCATGCAGCACGTGAGTTGTCTGTGCGGTTTATAGCGCTTGGACTGAAGGAGACCCTCCGGAGTCTGTACACACCCCCAATGAGCGCAGGTACCTACCAATGGCGAGTGTTGAGTGCAAGTGTCGAGTGACTGGGAGGACTGAGTGAATTGATACTTTGATAGTATGCACATGGTTTTATCACTGAGTTGCATCGCATTAACATGCACACTTGACATACATGCATAGAGATGCATTTTCCTCATGATGTACGATATAGCATCATTCATGACTCCACATACTCATTGACATGTAGACATAGAGATATATTTTTCTCATGCCATTTTAAAATGAAACATCCTCTCTGTTGTTGAAAAGTTTTTTGGGAAAATCACAGTTTTACAAAACATACTCATATTTTGGTGATTTCGGTAAAAGTTTTAGGTTTTCACTGATATACTTGAAAAGCACTCCTATTTTTCTATAACTGTGAATGAGCTGAGCATTTCATCTCTGAGATACTTCCTTTATTACTTCCATTTATTTTGTTATGAACTGTTGTTGGCTATTGGTGTTGGACCGCGGCCTATGTTCCAGCTCGTTACTACTTTTAACCTATGTTTAGGTTTGTTATTTATTGAGTACATGGGATCGGTTGTCCTCATACTACACTTTTGCACCTTGCGTGCAGATTTTGGATATTGATGTT